ACTGAAGAAAACATGAAAATGTAGGGGTATGAAATCACATTGAGTGATTCCCTGAGATGGATGTTGGAGGAAAGAGGTTTCCAAGTCAAGAACACTTGGAAAATGCTTGAAGATGTGAAGTTCCTAAGAACAAATATGTCGATATTTGTATAAGGAATCCATGATTTGAGTGGAGGAGTGTAGAATATTCAAAAGTATGATGAAGCAGCTACTTACCAAAAATGAGAGGTGAAGCTCAAGATCAGCCCTTGAATCTCGAGTTCTTAGAGAGAGGAAAATGAGAGAGAATTAAATTGCTTTTTGTGAAGAGTGAAAACCTTGGAAAGGAAATTAATAAATGTTTCAAGGTTTGATTAAAAGGAAACTTGTTGGGGAAGGGTGAGAGGTACAATGAGTTGACTAGGGCTGATGTGAACAGTGACATAAAGCATGAATAGTGACCTAAAGTGTCATAAAGTTGTCATGCTTTATGAGAAAAGTCAAAGAGTACCTCCTTGTACTTTGAACTTATCCTAAATAATAGTAGGAATTATATCTTAGAAATCTCCAAGATATGGGTAAATTATGATTTTAGAGGGTTGAAAATAATAAAGTATAGATTTATATGGAAATCCCACGTTAAAATCATGAGAAACGGGCTTAAAACGTGAAAGCGGTCGAAAACCGGAAGTGAGGAGCGAACCTGCGAGGGTTCGGTTCATGTTGCTGAGAACTTGACGTGAGGCATGTCATGAACTCGACGAGTCATGGCACGCGTCGTGTTCTAAAAGGCGTGTCATGGCACGCGTCAAGACATGTCATGACGTGAGGCGTGTGTAAGAACTTGAAATTTAGATAAAGTTGACTTTTAGTTAAATATTGACCAAAATGGCAAAATGGTTCAATATGAGAAAAAGATGAGAATATGAAGTTGTAACATCATATAAATGGCCAAGACAAGTTTAAGTCACTTAGAAGAGGTTACATGAGTAAGTTCAAGAAAAAGAATGCATGAGAAGATGGATAGAGCTGAGAAGAGAAGTGATTGACCGAATGTCATTTCACGCTAGTTTCTTAGGTCTCGCTTACATATAATCAAGATTAGGACAAAACATATAACAATAAAAATGTTTTAACTATTTTATCGATTGCTACTTAGTTTATATTTGACATACTACTTATGACATGTCAAACATAACATTGATAAAAGTATGTTGACACATTTTGTCTTTTGCCATGATATTAAAACCACATAACCACAACAAATTTTTTTTAATAAGTCAGATATAATGATTTAAACGTTAAAATTGTATAAATATGTGTCATTTATACTTGTTTATTTTAGATTTTAGATGTAATTTAGTTGGATTAATAAAATCAAATTGTTAGTTTGCAACAAAAAAAGTAAGGAAAATTAAGATTGCTTGCTGGCTATGGGGTTCGAACCCATGCGCACTTATGTGCAGAAGATCTTAAGTCTTCCCCCTTAACCACTCGGGCAAACCAGCTATTGATGTGGGTATATTCGAAATTAATTTATTTAAATTATAACTTGATACCTATTATAAGTAGCTGACTTTTCATAAAATTTTCCTTCTCCCCCAAATTTCCATCGTTGTGGAACAAGTAATTAAGCGAACCTTAATGCTTTCCACATAAACCCTAACCCTAATTGACACACCTCCAAATAATCAACTCGTATTCAAAGCAACCGAAGAATGGCGGAGCACTTGGCGTCAATTTTCGGTACAGAAAAGGACAGAGTGAATTGTCCGTTCTACTTCAAGATCGGAGCTTGTCGGCATGGCGACAGATGTTCGAGGCTTCACACCAAACCCAGCATCAGCCCCACTCTATTGCTTTCCAACATGTACCAGCGTCCTGATTCCATCACTCCAGGTGTTGATCCGCAGGGTCAACCCCTTGATCCTCGCAAAATCCAAGATCACTTCGAGGTTTTTAACCCTAATTTTTATGAATTGTGTCACTAATGTCGGATTTGTTATGTGTTTGTATCATGGATTTCGTGCGTTAGATATTAATTTTTGTTTTAGCTGTCATCTGGCTTGGTTTTGTGAGTTGCTTAGATGAATGGACACAATTAGATGAAAGATACGCACTTTCTTTTGTATGAATAAGGAATACCCGTGGATCTCTCCTAATTTACGATTTTATTATACTTTTATACATTCTATGCTGTTTTACCTTGATGTTAATTTGGTGATAGGTTTATTTGTATCTTTATGACTTGTGAGCTAATTCTAGATGTAAATGGGGCTATTATTCTTAGGAGTGTTTTGTGTGCAGAATGCTACTGGAAGGAATGAAATCTTAATGGGAAGTTGAAGAAATTGTAATCCTTCACATGTTTGGTTGATGGAATGGAATTCAATAATAGAAGTTGAATAATTATAAATTTTTCACTTATAGTAAATATTTTATGTATCTACATCTCATTAATATAATGATGGTATTATGGTCTTTCAATAAAGAAGAGAGAAATGTAATTGAATTCTTGCCTATGCATTTGCCAACTAGTGGATAAACATATTATACTTTCTACCACAGATTTCATACTCGATTTGTCTTCTTTTTTAAGGTTTTAAATATACTTTACAACTACTGTGCAAATGCAGGATTTTTATGAAGATTTGTTTGAAGAGCTGAGTAAGTATGGGGAGATTGAAAGCCTAAACATATGTGACAACTTGGCTGACCACATGGTATAATATTAACTTACTTGAAATTGATCAATTTCATTATGCTATTTTAAATTCTTGTTAAATCAAGTCTTGTTATTTATCAACAGGTGGGGAATGTTTATGTCCAGTTTAGGGAAGAAGAGCATGCTGCAAATGCTCTTCAAAATCTCACTGGGAGGTTTTATGCAGGTATACACCTTTTTCTTATTTAAATTTACAATTATAGTTATATGTTTTGTGTTTCTTCTAGAACATTTTAATCAATATAGTCACACATCAAGATTTACTCTAACATAAGATATATTAGAACTTAAAATCCAATTTGTGAATGGTTAATTAATCAAATTAAATAATAGTTGTCTTAACATAAAAATAATTTATATTTTTCAGGGCGTCCGATCATTGTGGACTTTTCTCCAGTGACAGATTTTCGTGAAGCTACATGTAGACAGTATGAAGAAAATGTATGCAATCGAGGTGGTTATTGCAACTTCATGCATTTAAAAAAGATTAGTAGGTCAGTTTTTTGTTATTTTCTATTCTACTTCTAAGTTTTTACTATTTATTGGAATGACAAATCAATCGAATAGATAAGATAATGGAATCAGTCATTACATTCTATTATGGAATTAACCATTCCATTCCTTCTTTGATTCTCTCAGAGAGTTAAGGAGACAATTATTTGGAAGAAGTCGAAGAAGAAGAAGCAGAAGCCGAAGCCGAAGCCACAGTCCCCATCGCCACCGTGGCTATGACGAGCGCGGTGGCCGGAGTTCCGGAAGAAGGGCGGCCAGCGGTGATTACCACGACCGCAGCAGCCGCCGCCACCACAGCCGGAGCCCCGGTCGACGCGGTCGTAGCAGAAGCCCTGGCGGCAAAAGGAACCGGAGTCCGGTCAGGGAAGGCAGTGCGGAACGAAGGGCAAAGATTGAACAATGGAATAGGGAAAGAGAACAAGCCGACTCCCGCCCTAAAACCACCAATGATAACAACAACAATAATAATAATAATAGTAATGAACAAAATGGAGATGAGTATTATGATCCACGTCAGCAGCCACATCAGCAATATGATGACTAGATCGGTTTGTTCCTTCATTCTCTTGTTTTCTTTTTCGTATATAAATCATGCATCATGGTTGAAATTGCAACATAACTAAAAAGAAAAAGAAAAAAATAAGGTTAAATTGTAAATGCAAGAAATGAGTCAAATGACAATGATTTGTTTATTGAAAGTAGATTGCTATTTCTTGCATTTAGCTTTAAAAAAGATACAGCTTACAACCCACTTTCCACTGTGCAGGAGTACAGGGTACAGGTTCACCAGGACTCCTGAAACATGTGATTGTTTGCATTTCAAGTTCTTGAAAAAAAATGTTTACATTTTTTTTTTCTGGAGATAGTTTTTAGGGTTAAATGCATGGAAAAAAGTACAACAATCAACAATTCATTTCTTTATTATATCAAAAATCTTGAAAAATCTACACAATTATAGCAGTGTAATCCAAATACAAAGCAATATATATATTTTTCAATGTATAAGGTCATCATTTGTAAAACAATTTGAAAGTATAATGCTGTAATTAGAAATATTTTTTTTTCAAGTACAATGCCTTATTAAGAAAACATTTAAAGGAAAATATAGTAATAAACTAATTGAAACAAAATGAAAGTAGGATGTGGTATACGTCATATATGCATTAGATATGCAATAAAAATGATAGTAAACTGGTCAAGGTCAAGTAAAGAAAATCAGGATGGTCAATGCTGGGATATGAGTCTTTAGGTCATTTTCTTTATTTCTTTGTTAGGTCGGTTTAGTAGAAGTATGAGTAGGAGTCTGGGGTTTGTTAGTAAGCATTGATGATTTCAGTTGAATTGTTTGTTTCTGGGAGAGACTCGGCTTCTCAAAAGCCAATAACCTTTTGTATTTTTTTGATTTTAGTTTGTAATTTTGCAATGAAACCCTAGTCTACATCAAATACTTGATGCAGAGTAGGGTTTAAATGCATAACTATAGACTAAAATTAAAGAAAACAAAGGGTCCTGACTTTCAAGAAGCCAAGTCTCTCCTAGAAACAAACATTTCAACTGAATTGATCTGCTTACTAACAAACCTCAAACTTTTACTTATACTTCTATTTAACCGACCATATGAAGAAATAAGGAAAATGACCTAAAGACCCTTATCCCAACATTGACCAATTTGACTTGCTTTACTTGACCTTGGCCAGTTTACTATCCCTTTTATTGCATATCTAATCCATATATGAGGTATACCAGTGTTATAATAAACATATAAATGAAAGCATGTTGTTATTTTCTTACATTTAGCCTTAGTTTCTATGATATCAATAGGCCTTTTGGTTATGTTTTGAAGAGAAATTAGCCTATTATGGGTCTTTGCAAGTAAATTATGTTGCTATTTCTTTCATTAGGATAGTAGGGATGAATTTGTCTAATGATGTGTAGATTTTGTTTTATTAAAATATGTATTTGAATTTTGTATTGCAATATAAATATTACGAATAAAGAAATGTGATCTTACATAATATTTTAGTTTTGCAGGTTCAGGTATCCCTGCATCAAGGATCATGCCTTATTTATTGGAGCTTACGATTATTTTTGTATACAGGTTGTTTGACTGTGCTAATCTTGGAAGGAACAAGTTGAAGATGACGTGGCATCCTATTTATTATTTCTTGCAGTGTTTGTGTTTTAGTTTCTTCATGACAGATGGTGTTTGCGGTTTGTATCAACAACTTTTTCTGTGCACTTTCTTGTATGGAAGTTGAAAGATTTAGCATTGATATGATTTTTATAAATGAGTTTTTTCAATAAGTTTTTTCTTTTCGTGCCATGTCATTATTTCACAAAAATTGTTTGGTAGACTAAGGATAAAATATTAATCGAAATTTGAAAAAAAAATTGTTCTGAAAAGACTTTCACAATATCGTGTTGATATCATGCCTTTTTGCTTTTGACTAAGAGTTGATGCTTGTCATGCTTTGTTTCATATTCTTGCATGTTTATTTATTGACATTAATCATAGTATTAGTAGTCTAGTTTTCATTCTTGCATGTTTATTGACAAAAAGCTTTATATTTTAATTTTTTCGTATTAAAATAATAGACCCACAACTAAAAAAACTTCACACTTCTCGTAAATATTTTTGAAACCACAAATGTTTAGTAACTACTATGTTAGTGCAAAATCTCCGATAATAAACGGTAAAAAGATGCAACGGAAACATAACCCAAATTCATAGATTGCAAAATCTTGAAACTATAGTGGGAAAAAGTTAGGTTATATGGAAAGTTGAGGGACTAAAATGCAATAAATCCTAAATACTAATATCATCCAATAAATTATTCTCGTTACTCTTTATTAAAAAAATATATGCTAAAAGGGTAACGTCACCACCTAACGGCGACGTGACACGCTTGACACTTGTACACCGACAGCTCAGCTAAACTGGATTGTAGTTGACTCACGTGTTTCTTTCCAAGTTTACGAATTACAAAGCCGCCTTGATTTCATATGTCTATTCAAAGTTAGTTATACCCCTATTCTTTTAAAGAATTTACTCCTAGTGCCACCAGGCTGTTATTCATCGATAATGATGATAACGGGACGTATGACAATACTTTTTTTTTTGTTTTTTTGTTTTTTTGGGTTTTTTTTTTGTATTGTTCTGAACAGTATTATTGGGACCGGAGAGAGCTAATCGACAATAACACCTACACACAAAGGGCAAAATCTTCGTTTCGCATTTCTTATTTCTCATTTCTTTTTCCCTAATAGTTTTGAGGAATAAAATGTTGAAAAAGTTATAACCTTACTAACGAGTAACTAAAAACATCAATCATCAACATCAATAGTCAATCAAAAAAAAAAGGAAAAAAAAACATGTTAACTTTATGGGTACAAGTTGTATAAAATGTCTCATAATATATACAATAAGGGTATAAACATAAATTTTTATATGCTATATAACAAAATCCACTAAAAAAGAAGATAACAATGGAGGTAAACCTTCTCGATAAATGACAGTTTCCATCTCTCCCATACAAATTTCACAAAAAAAAATTGTTGTGATTAGTTATCTCTTGTTCTAACCTGAATATCCAAACAAATGCAGACCTCATAAGGACTAAAAAATAACTTATATTAAAGCTAAAATGAATTTTATAATATCACTATAAGATGTATTATATATAACATATATAGATATGTGTGTGTTTTCACATATTAAAATCATTCGTTTTATCTCATCTGCCAAAAGTGAAACACTACTGACCAATATTTTTATTATATATGTAGTTTGCACAAAGTTTGAGTAGTTAAATGTAGGGGTGTCAATTCATGACACGGCACGATAAAAATAGACGACACGAAACAAAATTGTGTCAGGAGCCTCCTCCTGGTCTTTCATGCATAATGCCTAGGGCTAACCCCCGGGTCTTCCTACCATACATAACTAAATGGGCCGACATTGTGGCCGTAGACCCATACAAACAGTGAGGAGACTCACCTCGTACTGCTGACGCTGCTGATAACCCTCTGGCTGCTATCCAACAACTCTCCGAATTGCTGCTCCTCTAGCTCCCCGAGCTACTGATACCAATAATAGAAACACTTAGCCTAACTGTCCTCAAGAAGTCAACTAAGTCAACTCTGGTCAAAGTCCCTCTCAAGGTCAAGGTCCTGGTCAAAGTCAACCTTCCAGTTGACTCGACTCGTCGAGTTGTTTTGCCAACTCACCGAGTCCATGCTCTTCAAATCCCAAAACAACCCCGACTCCACTCGTCGAGTCTAGCGAGAACTCGACGAGTTCTCCTTTATCTAACACTTCGGGACTATCTTCAACCGACTCGCCGAGTTCATCCTTGAACTCGTCGAGTTCATCATCATTGTATGAAAATCTAGGCCATGACTCGCCGAGTTGTATGAACAACTCGTCGAGTTCATCTTCATAACTAAGAAGATTGTCTTGGACTCGCCGAGTTCCTCTTCGAACTCGTCGAGTACTATGATCTTCATGTCCATTACGAACCCAGTCTGGCTGAATCCTTCACTACTCCCCCCACTGATCCGAATCATAACAGAAGGGTTTGGGTTTACGACCCGAATCGCCGAGTCCATGAACAGACTCGTCGAGTCCACCTTGTGACATCTCTATTCTGTCGATTACAGTCCATTCCAACACTTCCAACTCATATATCTGGACTCCTAATGCTAGCATTGCACATAAAGTTGCTAACTTTACGTGCATGCAAGGTGCTATGAGGCTAGAACACTCAATCCAAGCTACAATGAAGGCCTAGGTCATGAAATGGGACCTTAGATGGATAAAGCCGACAACTTTGAGCTTCTAAAGCTCAAGAGTGTCCAGATCTGTTGTCCAATCCAACCTCAAAGGCTTAATACTCGGATTCTACTTGGAAATGATCCAATTGTGACAAAAAGGCAAGCTAGAAAGGGGATCCATCAATTGAAAGCTCAAGGTTCAGACTTTTTACCTCCTAACAGTTTCCAAGTCGATATGGAGGCTGGATCTACTCTTCCTTCCTTGCTCCTTTCCCTCCAAGCTTCCAAGATGTACTCTAAAGGCCCTTAATCTTCTCAAAAGCTCAAACAATGGAGTTGGGTGGCTAGGGTTTTGGGTTCTGGACGAGAGAGGCTGTAAATGAACCCTAGGGAAGAGAATAAGATGCTTAAATAGGGTACCAAGTCCCGGAATTAGGGTTTCCAAACCCAGACCAGACTCGCCGAGTCCACTTGCCGACTCGCCGAGCCGGTCACTTAATCTTTGACACGGAACCCGCTCCGACTTGTCGAGTTCTTCCTTGGACTCGACGAGTTGACCCCCTTTTGACTTAGGGTTTTCCTTCCTTTCTCGGCCTTTCTGATACTGGGTGTTACAGACCAGTTTGCCTGAAGCGACGAGCTCCCGAACAAAATGATTGGAACATCCCAAAAATCATGACCAAAAATTTCTTCTTAAGACATTACTAAATTATAGTATCAAACCATTTCAAACATACTAGAAGGGTTATATAACAAATCAGAGTATCTTTTCAAAAACACTTGTTAATTTTATCAGAGTAAACATCCCAAGCTAAAACTTCTTGGTGTGTGCAATGCGATCATCCCGAGCTCTTCCCTCCGACACCGGAAGTACCGGAAACCAAAACTGAAAACCGTAAGCACGAAGCTTAGTGAGTTCCCCAACCTACCACATACCACATACATATCCACATATTGGGCCCCCGCCCACTGCATCAGGCCCCGCCTGGCATCGAGCCCCGCTCGGTATACATATCTGTTCTCTTAGGCCCCGCCTGTCTCCGGGCCTCGCCCGCTAAACATATACAATCATATAACATAACACATATCATAAAGCTAAACATACTATACTGTACTACTGATCTAAGGCCTCGCCTGTCTTGGGCCCCGCCCCTGTCCTGCTACTGGTGAGTCATGGAACCCCGTCCACGCTCCTGCTGATAGTGAGATACGGGCCCCCGCCCACACTCACCTCCCTACTAACTCGGGTCTCGCCCCTGCTCTGCTAATAATGAGATACGGAACCCCGTCCGTACTCGGCTAGTGATGAGATACGGGTCCTCGCCCGACTCACCTCCCTACCAGGCACATACAAGTATCACAAAGACACCAGTATAACTACACATACGCTACTGCCTCGGGTACCACCCGACATCGGACCGAAATCCGGAACATACAAGCTGCATCGGGCTAACCCCGGTAACGGATCTAAATCCGAACAAATCACAATAAGTGCCTAGGGCTAACCCCCGGGTCTTCCTACTACACATAACCATAAGCATAAACATAATGAGCCGGCATTGTGGTCGTAGACCCATGCACATAGTGAGGAGACTCACCTCGCACTGCTGAAGCTCTTGCTGCTACACTTCTGGCTGCTTGACTGACAACTCCCCGAACCGCTGCTCCTCTAGCTCCCCGAGCTACTGATATCAAAATAACACTTAGTCCCAAACTGACCTCCAGAAGTCAACTAAGTCAACTCTGGTCAAAGTCCCTCTCAAGGTCAAAGTCAACCTTCCAGTTGACTCGACTCGTCGAGTTGTTCTACCAACTCGCCGAGTCCTTGCTCCTCAAATCCCAAAACACCCTAACTCCACTCGTCGAGTCTAGCGAGAACTCGGCGAGTTCTTCTTCATCTAACACTTCGGGACTATCTTCAACCGACTCGTCGAGTTCATCCTTGAACTCGTCGCATCCATTGTCATCGTATGAATATCTAGGCCATGACTCGCCGAGTTGTATGAACAACTCGTCGAGTTCATCTTCATAACTAAGAAGATTGTCTTGGACTCGCCGAGTTCCCCTTCGAACTCGTCGAGTAATATGATCTTCATGTCCATTACAGACCCAGCCTAGTTGAATCCTTTACTAACTCCACCCACTAATCCGAATCATAAACAGAAGGGTTTGGGTTTGCAACCCGACTCGCCGAGTCCATGAGCTGACTCGCCGAGTCCACCTTGTGACATCCCTATTCTGTCGATTACAGTCCATTCCAACACCTTCAACCCATAGATCTGGACTTCTAATGCTAGCATTACACGTAAAGTTGCTAACTTTACGTGCATGCAAGGTGCTATGAAGCTAAAACTCTTAATCTAAACTAAAAGGAAGGTCTAGGACATGAAATGAAGCGATGGCTGGGTAAAGCTGCCCCCTCAGAGCTTCTAAAGCTCAGAAATGCTTAGATCTTAAGTCCTTTTCGTCCTCAATGGCTCAATGTTCAGATTGACCTTGGAAATGGTCCAAATGTGAC